TCATTCTGAGGAGAAAATTTCGCTTCTCCTCCAGAAGTTCTTGTATTCGTTTGTTCCTGGTTCGTTCTCTGAGGTGCCTTGGGATCAGATTGTTTTGAGAAATGTCACTATCTGCAACAATGACTCTGTTATCGAATGCAGCGATCGAGTTGCTCTCATTATTCTCCGCAGCATTTTGCGGAGGTTTCAAAGTGGAGATGATTTCAGGGTTCACTGTCACTTGTTCTTCCTTTGTGTGAGGGACCGCAGTGGGAACTGGGGAGGCAGGAAGGTCTGAGGTCGTTGTGGAAATGGGTACACCTGCAGGGATGTAGTCAGAAAGGTCAAGCCAGGGTGGAAAGGCTCTCTCTGTTGTGTCCTCTCCGTTTATAGTCGGGATCACCATGGAGAGGCTATCCTCCAGCACAACAGTATCTGTGACCACTCCCGAACTGCTGTAAGACTCTTTATTGTTATCACCACTTGGATAAGTCCAGTTGGCAGCTTCACCACTACTTGTCACTGTGATTTCACTAGATCGAATAGTTCGTGTGTCAGCCTCAGTGTTGATGTCATTAAGGGGTGTTATGAAATCATCATAAGGGTCTGGTGTAATGGACTCTTTCTCTGTGTCGCTGTAGTGCATGACTGGAGTTCTGTCTGTGACCGGTGCATCGCTGTTGATGAATGAAGGACTGGCTTTTGAATCAGAGGGAGATGAGCTCACCACTGTAACTTGTACAATGCTGCTGGAAGGAATCATGGAAGAAAATACCCGATAAGGGGTGGAGGATGTGGCAAAGTAAGGAGTGTTCTGTTTTTGATTGGTCTTCATGTCCTTGACTTTATTCTGTTTAACACTGACCTTTGACTTAGCACTTTCTGGGGCTTTTTTTGGGTTGTGTTTAAGGTTGGTCTTTGTTTGAGGTTGTTTTGTGAAAGTTTTCTTTGGTTCAGTTGTTTTTTTGGGATTGGCCTTTAAACTAACCTCTTTTTTAGGTGAATATTTAGTTTTTTTCTCTGGAATGTTCTTTGTTGGAGCTGTCTTTTTAGAAGTGGTGTTTGGAGTTTTCCTTTTCAAAGGATCATTAACTACAGTAGTCATTTTTGGAGTTGCATTTGGTGTAGATGCATTTCTGGTACCAGTGTATGGTGGATTAGTCTTTTTTGTGCTATTCTTTGAGACAGTCATTCTTGGCGTAGTATTTGCTGGATTGGACATTTTCACTGTAGAGTTTGATGAATAAATATTGTTTGGTGTATTATTTAGTGCCCTCTTTGCTGAAGGGTTTGATGGGGTAGTATTTGATGGAGTCTTCTTTGCAGTTGGCTTTGCAAGGATATTCTTTTTCGGATTTATGTTTAGTGGGTTAGTCTTTATCACTTTAGTCTTTGGTAGAATGCTCTTCTTTGGAGGACTAGTTTTTTTGGGACTGGTGCTTGGTGGGTTAGTCTTTATCACTTTAGTGTTTGATGGGATGCTCTTCTTTGGATGCCTATTCTGTAAAGTATTCTTTGCAGTATCAGTTGAAGGAGAAGCCCCTTTTGATGTTGTATTTGTTGGACTGGCCTTTTTCATAGTTGGGTTTGGAAGAATGTTTGTTGTGGGACTGGTGCTTGGTGGGTTAGTCTTTATCACTTTAGTGTTGGATGGGATGGTCTTCTTTGGAGGCTCATCCTGCAGACTTTTCTTCTTTGCAGTAGGGGTTAATGGAGAAGTATCTTTTGATGTTGTATTTGTGGGAGTGGCTTTTATTATGGTTGGGCTTGAAATAATGTTTTTTTTGACACTGGTGCTTGGTGGGTTAGTCTTTATCACTTTAGTGTTAGGTGCAATGCTCTTCTTTGGATGCTTATCCTGTAGAGTTTTCTTCTTTGGAGTATGAGTTGAAGGAGAAGCCCCTTTTGATGTTGTGTTTGTTGGACTGGCCTTTTTCATAGTTGGGTTTGGAAGAATGTTTGTTTTGGGACTGGTGCTTGGTGGGTTAGTCTTTATCACCTTAGTTTTTGATGGGATGGTCTTCTTTGGAGGCTTATCCTGGAGACTTTTCTTCTTCGCAGTAGGGGTTGATGGAGAAGTATCTTTTGATGTTGTATTTGTTGGAGTGGCCTTTTTCATAGTTGGTTTTGGAAGAATGGTTTTTTTGGGACTGATGCTTGGTGGGCGAGTCTTTATCACTTTAGTGCTTGGTGGAATGGTCTTCTTTGGAGGTCTATTAGGTAGAATACTCTTTGCAGTAGGGGTTGGGATCGTGTTTGTTGGAGTGGCCTTCTTCACATTAGAGTGTGAAGCAATAGTCTTTTTGGGAGCTCCAGTTTTTGCAGTGATACTTGTTTTCTTTTGAAGATTATTCCTTGGTGGAACATAATTTTTTGTAGTATTTCGTTGTGGGATTTCCTTTTTTCCACTTTCCTGTGATGGATCCACCCTTTTCTTAGTTTGTGGCTGAATTTTCTTATCAGGACTATATTTTTGCATGGTGACTGTTTTAGTAGTGCTTTCCATTGGACTTGTCATAGGAGTGGGTGTTGACGCAAGGACTTTGACACTTGCTGCCCCAGGTGTTGAAGTAGTTGAAATTATCTGCAAAAGTGGCTCCGTGATCTCAGCATTTGCATGACTTGTAGAAGGTGTTGTGATTGCATTAGGAGAGATGGTTGGGAGGAAAAAAGAGCTTGTTGGAGCTGGTGGATGAGTGGGAGTTTCTTTGGTGGTAGATGATGCAGATGGGATGGAATAAAGGGTTTGAATTGGAGAAGCTGGATAATCGGTGGTGACAGAGGTTGGAAAAATGCTGGAGGAGGGAGAACTCACTGTATCCGCTGGATGAGTGGAAATGATTGTTGAGGGTCTCAGAGAAGACTTGATGGAAAAACGAGCTGGGATTGTAGAGGCTTCTAAACGAGTGTCAGTAGAAGGTGAAACAGATCCTGAAAAGACAGTGGGGATGAAAGGAATGCTAGTTGCAAGTAATTGATGAGTGGGGATGGTTTTTGTTGTTCTTGGTGAAGATTCAGTGGTATCAAGGGTTATGGTTCTGAGGTTTGGGACTTGAGTGGTGGTTGAAGTCGAGGTAGCAGGGACGGCAGTTTTAGTGGGTTGAGCGGTGGTGAAGATGGCGCTGAGAATGTTCTCAGATGGAGTAGGTGTGGCAGTGATTTTGACAGTGAATGTAGAGGTGGAATTGGGTTCAGGTTTGGTGCTGTTGATGGTGCTGCAGGTTTTGCAGCATAATCGCCAGAAGTCTGGTAAAGAGCAGTGGCGCTGCAGAGCCTCCATACGACAGAACACAGAGCGATCTCCTTTACATGGCAGGCCTGTGAAGAAGAGACAAAGAACTCAGACTGGGAATAGAAAAGAACATGATGCAATAGGGTAATATTTCTAAGTTAAGGAATGTATCCTGAAAAAATAGTAGCATTTGTGTGTGTGTGTGTGTGTGTGTGTGTAGTTAGAAAAATACAGGAGTAAAGCCAGATCATCAGCAGAGGATGCAGGAAGGAAGAGAAAATTTTAAGAGCAGTCATCAAATTAATCCAGAGCAGCTGAAATACAGCAAATGATTGCCAGTCTTTAGTTGTCAGTAAAACTTTCTTGGGTGTAAAGAACAACTGATCGTTAACTTAACATCTGTCATTTAGATTGGTAGTTTAATGTCAAACTCAACCACTCAGTGTAAACAAATTATGGGCTGATGTGGGCTTCAGATATTAACACTCTTAATTAATCCATATTGGAACTCCAAGACAAATTTCAGCTCCCATTACCCATTGCTGAGATTATGTCAGCAAGATGCACGGAAAATGTCAGGGTTAGCTTAGCAAAAAGGAAGACATAACTTCCAAGACCATAGGTACATGTCTCCAGTCATACAGCGCACATGTTTACAAACAATTGATAATGCTATGTGTGTTTCATGTGATGTTTTGCCAGAATATTAAAAGTGACTTTCTAAGTCAAGCTAATCCACTGTGGAGCAGCGTATTGAGGCTGACCTGTAGAAACTCCAGTGGTTACACAATGTCTGTTGCTGACCAAAAAAAGAGAAAACTAGGTGATACTGAAGCATCCAGACGTTTATAGTCGAGTTAGTTGTGATACTGAGGGAATGTCGACTGGCACTTTACTGCAATCTAAAGCTACAGTTTTCAGGAAAGTGCTATTTTACTAGCTTTAACAACACACTTGATTGTCGGTATCAGCCAATTTTCACTCAGAAATGACATCTCTAATACATGATGTGTATCAGTGACAAAAAAAAATAAATCTAATCAGGAAATAACTAAACTGTGTCACTACAAAACAGCATATTTTCTACTGTACAAATTCCTGCAGAGTGAAAAGTCACACTTTTTAAAACATTTTTATTGATACAACTTTGCTGTTGAGAATGACAGGAACTGAAACAATGAGATGTACGCCCTCTCCCACCTCCAGCTCATTATATAGATATATAGATTTTTTTTTTCTTAAGAAAAATAATTCAACTGTATCGAAAGTTACAAGTTCACAGTCACTTTGGTAAAACACTTGATTACTTGGAAATCAACAAGTCAATCTGTCAGTTGACTGAGAAAAGAACATGAAGTACATAAATTATATTTGCTTTTTAAAGAAAATACAGAATTTACATGATGATGATGTAAAAACTGGAATGGCACATTAAGTGTCATATGAAACATTTACAAAACATTAATAAAATTTCCCTGATAAATCAAAGTGCATATAGACGCAGTGCACGTAGTCCATCTGAATGTTTCTTCGAACATTAGCCAGCCCCACGCAGCAGGCCAGTGAAGCCACGAAACAGTTACCCAAAGTATAGAATATTATAGAAGAAGATAACAGTCATGAACATTATTAAATACAGTCAACACCAATTTTATATACAGTATCGCACTGCTAGGTCTGGCATGGTCTCGTAAAGTCCAACTCCAGCAGAAGGAAACCTTGGATAGCTCGCTACATAGTCACAACAGAAATATGTGATCACAATACAATGACAAGTCTGAAGTGTTCTTTTTCTTTCTTTTTTTTGTTCTCCAAGATGCCAAATGTGTCAGTACCCTAGGCCCTTTTGAAAATCCTTTCCGGTAGTCGGACACTGGTCCGACGTCAGCTTGGTAGGTTTTGATGGTTGGCGGGTGTGATTTTACGTTGGTTTGAAGCTGCCTCTATTCCGAGTGAAACTTTGAATGAGTAAAGCCATCTCTTTCACAGATAAATGCCGTTACATTCAATCCAAGATAAGGCATTGTTCATGTTCGACAAAAACATAAAGTGAGACCACTGGACGCTCTCGAAATCAAAGTTTATGAGGTATTTCTGTATCTGATCGCAGTGTGTTAAAAGCCCAAATGATTTAGCACCCTCGCACACTCGCTCGCACGTGACAAGACGCACATCCACCCTCGCGCACACGCACTCGTGGACTCGCACGTGGGACAGATGCACGCTCGCACAGACATGTGTCCAAACATCCAGGTGATGGATGCAAATGTGCATGACAAAACATGATCCTATCCTAAAAAAAAAAAAAAACAAAAAAAAAACAATAAAAAAAAAAATAAAAAAAACAAGAAGCAACAGTAAAACCACTGATCCATCTGAGCGAATGGAGAGGCAACTAACTGACCAAGTCCTGCATAATATGGGTCAAACCCGTTCCCCACAAAACACTTTGCCTTTATTAAATATTTATCTGTATTCATGTAAAATCATTAAAAAAATACACATAACAGTCAAGGATCTAAGCGATCAATAGCAGTCCAAAGGTTTTAGGCAAATAAGCTACAGCTTATTCATGGTAAAACGTTGTTAATATTATTGGTACTCATATAGATTTAGATTTATAGGTATATATAAATACAAATATATTTATAGATGTATTTGTTTAAAGTCTGCAAGCACAAATAAGCTGCATTTATTGAACTTTTGTATAACAGTCAAAGAGAGGATGGCTGATGATGAGGTGGAATGGGAAGCAACCTCAAGTGGTCAAACTACCCTGTATTTTTTTTATTTTAAATTCTTTTTTTCTTCTTATCAGACGTACTTCACAATTTTTAACTCCTCAGTTCACTTTGCAAAAAATAAAATCAACCAAAACAAAACAAAACAAAACAAAAAAAGATCCCCTTATATCTTTTCACTGTGCTGAGTTCTTGTCAATCTGGAAATGGGAGCGCCATTTTCATCCCCGAATGGAACCGAGATGTCAAGATGAGCACTTTAGCAAAGATGTCCTCAGATCACATTCACAATAAAGCTTTCATATTTTTATGTTTTTTAGATATAAATACTTTTTTTTCCATATAGATATTTATATACCATTTCTGATTTTTTTTTCTCCCACACTGACAGTGCGCTACAAAAGGGAAAAAAAAAAAAGAAAAAAGAAAGAAAAGCCCTGCTGCGTCTCAGGTGTGGTAACCCATAACATCGCGCTAAACATGGCTGCCAAATGCAGAGAGGAGAGTGGGTCCCCTCACACATGAACGGCCCCTTTGACACGTCACAGGAGGTGTCAGCGAAAACCCGTCTGCCACTTAAAATCCTCTTCACACCAAAATTTTTGTTGATCTTTTAAGTTTTCGACTGGCCAGCGGTTACAACACAATGCTCCATAGAGGAGAGATAGATAAAGAGAGACAGAGCAAGAGAGAACCAACTAGCACACACAGGAGCCAGAGACCTCCCCCGGTCAGAGCCGCCTCAGACACAGAGAGAGAGAGAGAGAGAACAATCCCCCCCACCCCCCCAAAAGAGAAGCGAAAGCTTTGCCGCTCGCTCATACGGGCGTGGGCACAGGCACAAGGCGCAGCAGGAAGGGCAGGTCAGGGGGCCAGCCGGGGCCGGCCCTGCAGAGACAGGAGGACAGAGATGGGCAGGGCCCAGCAGAGGACAGACATGCGGCTGCGGCTGTCGCTGTGAAGGCCGGGCTGGGAGCTATAGAGGGAGGTTTTACGTGATGAGATCCTTGGGTAGTTGGGGTTGGGGCGGGAAAGCCACTGGATCAGAATGTTGCCATTCTTGTTGAGGTCTGATGAGCCCTCTGCAAAGGGGACACAGAGACGGTAAGACAACTCAAGTGCAATAAAGGGAGCATCCTACGAAGGAGCGTCTGAGACATTTATCACTTTCATCAGAAGTTAGGACATTTTTGCACATGTCCACACTGGATATTTTAACTTTGACTTAAATTTTCCTCCACTTGATTGCCTGTGCCCCCTGTGGAAAAACACGTCCATCACCTTCAGGACTAAACTAGTCCTGCATGTATGGATGTAGCAAAATCTGAAGTAAAGTGGTTTGTTTTGTTCAATGAGCTGCTTAGCAATTTAGCAAAACATGTCATTTTGTTTGTCCGCAACAAGAAAGCAGAGAAAACATAATGCAGACACAGATACTACAATAGTTTTGTTTCTTTTTTTTCTCTTCCGAACGACTAAAAAGTCTGTTTTAATGTTAACATTTCTTTTTCCACTGTCCTCTCAAATGTCCATTAGGTTTATCAAACATTTGACAGTAACCTTATGTACGGATTTAAGTGTAGCAAATACCAAAATGTTCATACTGAACATTTCTGTTTCACTGCTATCGAATAAGTAACATGTAAATCACAAAGAGTAGCTCTAAACACATTTGACTAAAGAGTTATTTGAGCAGTGGAGTTTGCTTAACACATACTGCGACATGGTTCCAGGCGACAAACTCTGATGGTGTCAGGCTTGCTGTCTAGACAGAGTCCTATGGTGTTGTCCCTGGTGTGGCACAGTGCCTGCCTCTGCTGCGTCCCGTTTCCACAAGTCACTGAACACTGGCGACACAGGACCATAGCGTAAACATATTTATTCAAAAAAACATTTGTTCATATTTTCTATTAATGTCTCGGGTGCGTACTTGTGACCAGGGTCCGACTCTCCACTGCGTGGGGCAGGGATATCGGTTGCAGGACCTGCGGGACTCAGGACGGTCGTCGCTGCAGTGTTTATTGTGTATGAGGCGCGTCGTGTTGTCCTCCGAAGGCTGAACACAGGTAACGGAGCGTACTTGCATCCCTGTCTTTCCGCAGGGTTTACTGCAGTTCTGCCACTCTCCTGTCACCCAGCTGCAAGTGAAATACCAAATGTTTGGGAAAACACCGGAGCGGCAAATGAAGAGAATCATCTAAAAGTGGTAGAAGCTTAAAGACAGCCTGAATATACATGATCGGGTGTAACGTAGTGACTACCCGGCTCGCACTATGTTGGGTTCCCCTTTGCTGCTGAACTGGCCTGACCTGTCAAGGCATGGAAACCACTAGATCCCTGAAGGTGTGCTGTGGTATGTGACACCAATATGTCAGCAGCTGAAGCTTCAAATCCCGTAAAGTTGTGGGGTTGGTGCCCGTGGACCTCATGCGTCGGCCCAGCTCGTTCCAAAGATGCTTGACTAGATTGACGTCTGAGGAATTTGGAGGTCAAGTCAACAACTCAAACTTGTAAAGTTGAAGTGAACCACCTATATTTTGTGGCAACCATCAGGGAATACCATGCATTACACCAATGCGATGCAAAAGAATGCGTGATTTATCAGGCTAGTCCGTCTTTACACTGTGGTTTTTCGTTCTAATGACTAGTTGATCATTGGACTCAGCAAGGGCAACGTTACTTGTCTGGGGCTTTGCATAAGAAACACACTGAAATACATGATGAATTCTGTCACTTTACCATCAGATCCAGAAATGATGTCCACAAGAAGACAGCTACACTACAGTAGTAGCCTGTTATCGTTTCTCTCCACATGTGCCTCACTCTGACCCACTGACTGAGCCATCCCAAGTCCATTCTTGTCACAGTAACTCACGTAGTTAAGGGCTCGACACATGGAAGGCCATATTGCTCCCTCTTTATTCATTTCCTGTGGACTTGCACTCTGAGGCGACGATCTTTTGCCCTCCTTCAGCAAAGTGACTGGCGGAGTCCGTGCATGTAAAATTTTCAGCTCCTACGCATAAAATTTGCACAGTCGGGCTTGCGACAAGATGGCTGAAAAAATGTTCAACTTTTGTCGCTGGCATCGTGTCCCATGCTGGATTTCACCACGGCGGGAATGAATTTGGCGTTTTCGTTTGTCTTGTCGATGCCCGTTTCTCGAGCCCCTTAAGCTTTGTCAATTTTTCCCTCTTCTAACACATTGGCTTTTATGTTAACATGTTCACTTCCTGCATACGTGCAAACAGATGCCACGGTTATAAGATAAATAGAGTTTTTTTTTTTTTCACTATTCCTGGCACTGGTCATAACAAACAATATCTACCTTCAATTTCCAGAAGGAATTACTGAGTACATACATGGGTGGAGGGCAAGGCTTCTGGTTGCAGTCTCTTATGTCTCCTCTGGGCTTCATGTTGGACTTATTACAGAAGCTTTTGTGAACCATCTTGCTGTCAACTTTCCTTCTGCATCCATATCGCAGATACTGTTTCCCTGAAGAGAAGGGGACAGTCAATTGATGATTCTAGGATATAATAACGGAAAAAAATAAATACATGTGACTACGGAGGCCGTGCGGTGACTGGCTTTTTTAACATACCTCCACCACAAGCTTTGGAGCAATAAGACCATCTCTTCGGAGCCCATTCGTAGGCACTGTCCTCTACCAGCATGTTGTCCTGAATGTTCGAATCGCCGTCCATATTCATCATGTACTTATACGACAAATTGACATCCTCGTCGCCATGCAATTTCATCTACGGGAGAGATCGGCAAAGAAAAATCTAAGGAAAACTGGTTTAATTTAGGATTTATGGTCATAAAAACCAAACTTTTAATTTGATCCTGCTGTTTGTACCATTATTAGAATTCCATGTCTGAGGGGCCCTGTGGTCTGGACTGTTTCCTTGTCGTTGTCGTTCTCATACTCCCATTCTACGCCCTTCTCTATCACAGAGCGGGACTCGGGGTAGTCGTTTTCGCCGTTCAGAAAAAACAGTCCTGATGCCACATTTTTAACAGCTGTGAATGAATAAGAAATAATAACTCTTTATACGTAAAAAAAAAAGGAAACATACACAGAACGTGCATGACAGAAAAAGGACCAAGGGAGGGTTTCGTTTACCAAAAGTGTGTGAGGTGGCTTTCAGCTCCTGAATGAGTAAATGCCTCGCTCCTCTGGGGATTTCAAGAACCTTAAGGAAGCCTGAAATGACAGACTCAATGAGTTTTTTTTTAGTTTTTTATTTGGGATCTAAAACCCTCCAGCCCCCTTTCAAAGAGCTCAATTTGTAGTTTCCAGATAGGACACCTAAGCAGAAAAAATGCCTCACTGGAAACTTTTTTTTATTAGTTTGAGCCTGAAAAAACAGACTCTTCCAGGAATTCAGCTCTCATGAGCTAGGCCTGCCCTGACTTCAAGAGTTAGATAATAGACTCAACATTAGCTCACGAACTTTGACGTAAAGTCTTGGCAATGTTCGCATGGAAACATATGGTCAAACTTCCCTGAGGTTCAGGGACATTTTTAAGCATCTGCCTCTAGAGGGCGCTGTTCATTTAAGCATCAGAACGAGGGGGAGACGGGAGAGAGGAAATACATTCCAGCAGTTTTTCTGCCAGGACAGAATCAAGTCAGCTTCCTCCGTTTACCCTGCTTTTTAGCAGTCCGCATGATTGTGTCTTTAAAGGTTTTACAGCTGGAGTTGTCGCCTCCGCACACGCCACACTTGTCCTCCTGCTTCGAGGAGCCCACCACGCCATCGCAGCCCACCTTCTGTTAATGGAAACCAAGGAAGCCGATGAGAATAAAAGCAGCTGTTTAACTTTGAGGCACACAAACAAACGCACACGTGAAGAACCTCACCTCACACTCGCCACGCACGCACACACTGTGCGGGTCCTTGTATGAGCAGAGCGTGCCATCCAGCACCAGTTTCTCCATGAAGACCACATCTCTGGTCTCCTTTGACTGGCAGTACAGGTGGCAGCGTTTGTTAGCTAGAAAGCAAACATAGTTTCACATTAAATAATAAAATAAAAAAGCTCCATTTTACCCTGATTACGTAATCGCATTAGTTGGCACTGTTAATCCCATAATTGCTCATACCAGCGCAGATTTAAAATCATCTTTAACTTGACCAACACGTTTTCTTTCTTTCAGGAAAGGATGCACGACGTGCCAAAGATGTCAGCAGAAAAGTTTTGGTTTGACTTCTACTGACAATTAAGTAACTTGTCTGAAATTAATACAACTGTGAGTTGGCGGTAAAATTCAAAGTTGTGCAGGATTCAGAACTGACTATGCTGTTGTGAAACATCCGAATAAAAATTATTAAAAAAAAAAAAAAAAATATATATATATATATATATATATATATATATATATATATATATATATAAAACTAAAGAACTCAGTAATGCCCATGTTTGGACATTTTGTCAGCTCAGGACTAATGAAAGGAAAAAAAAAAAAGGCAATTTTTAGTTGTCCTCAAGTATGAAGTCATGTTGAAACACTACAAGAAACTAAACACTGTTGAAAACCATGAAGGAGGTGGCTGCAAGTCATAAGTGACACCTTCTCACTGCCAAGGCTGATGGTGCAAGAGGTGAAAAAGCATCCTAGGAACAAGGTCGTTGTGAAGAACATGGGGCGTGTCGGTGGCAACACCTCAGTCCAATAGACTGCTGGACACCATCGATGTGGAACAACAAACAAAGGCTATTCTTAGACTAAGGCCCACAAAAGCCCACTTGGCTTTTGCAAAATCTCACCGAGGCAAAGAACAAGATGTTTTGATCTTCTGTTTTATGGCGAGATGAAACAAGTTTAGTTATTTAGCCACAATCAAGTATTTTATTTGGCATACAGAAGAGAAACACTCAAACTCAAGAATAGCATTTGCAGCCTAAAATGGCAGAGGGAACATAATTATTTTGGAGGTCATCCATATCAAGATTCTCAACAAGAAGTTCAGGCAGTCCACAGACGAACTTGATCTTAGGCAACACATATCTAAAGTAGAGAAGAGAAGGTTTACCAACTAAAATATTAACAAATTGGAGCCGCAAATTCAGAAAGCTGATTTGACTGTGATAGACAGTCTGTTGAGGGGGGGAGGGCAGTTTACCATGCAGGTAATGGCAAAGAGGCCTTCCAACTTCAAACACTTGGAGCTTGTAACCCAGTATGAAAAGTCAAAGATGTTCATACTGGGTTAATAGTGAAGATATGCAAAAAGCTTGCCGGTAACTATGTCGAATTTTCAAAGTTAAAACATAACTTTAAACCTAAATCACTAAGGGGTACAAATACGTCTGGTCTTAATTGTTTGTAAGTAATAATCTGAATGAGATCTTGGTGAGTCAGCATAATGATGAGTCTTATTGTGTCTCTTAGTCACACTACAACTACAGAGACAAAACCTGGCAGACCGTCCCGGTGAGAATGAACACTCCTACATTATCACACACACGCACGCACACACACATGCACAAACACACACACACACACCAAGGCCTCTGGCCAGCAGCCAGAGACCTTGTCTTTCAGAGCTTTGACTCTAATAAACAGGTGGCAGACATGCAACTAATCTACCTCAGCTAGCTTCACAAATGCTGGTATCCCTGGTAAAGACGTGTGAAAAGCCTTAAAATATCTCTTCAAATTTATCAGTCTTTTATTGCAGTAGCATATAGTAAGTTCACACAGAATTAATTACTTTGAGTACATTTACTCAGGGGGAAAATAAAGCCCACGTTCAGAAGTGATTATTTTAAACAAAATCAACAGCGGCACAAGTATTGGTAAATGAAAAGGTTGAGTCTTTTCACCAGGTTGGTGCATTAAGAGAAGAGATTGCCATCTTTGACTATTCCTGTTTGCTTAATCACTCTAAGAGTCCTTGGTCCTCTCTTATTCTCTATTGTCTTCAGCTCTCACCACAGGTTTTGTGGATACTTTAAGTCTAAGGTTTGAAATTGTCAGGGAAAAATGCTGTTTGGTAAACCTTTCTGAGCTGATTTGATCATGTGTTTTGGTTCATTGCAGAGTAGAAAAAACACAATGGTAGCTCACATTGTGGCGGTTTATGATTTGTTCATTATTTTGTCAAGATTTCTACTTTGTATTCCATGAATTGCCCAAATCCTCGTCATTTATCAGTTTATGGAGTTTGTTTGAATATTACACAGTTAAAGTTTACATGTTGTTGAATGCTGCGTCCTGCTTTCTGACTACTTTTTGGTTGCTTACGCTGCTACTTGAGAAATCTTCAGTTTTCTAGATGAGGTCACCCGATCCTTTTCAAAACGTCCTGATATTTTACTCTTAACAGGCCCAGAAACAGACCTACGGCATCACCAATCCTCCACAATACTTAACAAAAGGAGAAGAGGTCCTTCACCACATGTTTATAACATTGAACAGACGCTATGAAGAACCGGTGACCCTGTGATAATCCCCTCTTAGTAGAACTGTGCATTAGGAAAACACTTATTCTATGATTTTTGTTTGTTCGTTGCAAACTTAGGCTTCAGACAGTATTTCAAACTGGTGAAATTAAAAACGTTGTTTTATCGTAAGAATTTGGCTTCGTTAAAAGAATTGTACGTGGCTTTAACTGGTGTATAGACAAAGAAAAAAACATATTTATAATTTCTGAATGACTGATACTTATCAGCACATCTATTCCTGGCATGTAGAGCCTGAACTCTTGGTGCAATACACCCCCTTTTGTTTTTTAAATTTTTTATTTATTTTTTTGTGTGATACAGATACTGCATACAAGTACATTGCTTTAATTAAACGTTTCTCACAAATTATGAAGTCCTAATCCTTACATAAGAAATAAGTATCGGTAGGAGGCTTTTTATTTATTTTTTTTTTACATGTATTTACAAGTTCTTCCAATAGATGTGTGAGCTCCTAAGAAAGAATCCTCCACAGCGTGGTGACACCTGATCAAACCAGTGTTGTACATGTGCATTCAGTGCAGTCAAAAAGAAACACTGCAGAGGCTGAGTCTGTATTTATAGCATCAGCATGATATACTATTCATAAATCAACCCGCTCACTCAGAGCCAGTCTGTTCTTCTCCCAGTAACATTTTCACATAATAATAATAATAATAATAATAATAACATCACAGTGTAGAGCAACAGAAGACAGCATCCTCAGTTTGTCAGGACCTGCTCTGAGATGCTCTGGGGGGGTCAGAAGGTGTTAATCAAAGTGTTTTGCAAACACCGCTGTATATTGGGAGACATGTGATCTCCTCCGTGCGAGAACACAGAAAGCTTCAGACTGCAAACCCCCCCCCCCCCCCAAAAAAAAAAAAAAAAAAATAAACCTGTCGCTTGGCCATCACCTATTATTTTTTCTCTCCTCGAG